GTTTCTTATAATTTATATTATCAGGAGAATATATTGTGCGAGGAGGTCGATGATGCGTTGATGACCTCTTTACAAATCATGTTCTCCTAATAACGCAAGCGCGAAAATTTTCGAAAATTCGTTTCTTATAATTTATATTATCAGGAGAATATATTGTGCGAGGAGGTCGATGATGCGTTGATGACCTCTTTACAAATCATGTTCTCCTAATAACGCAAGCGCGAAAATTTTCGAAAATTCGTTTCTTATAATTTATATTATCAGGAGAATATATTGTGCGAGGAGGTCGATGATGCGTTGATGACCTCTTTACAAATCATGTTCTCCTAATAACGCAAACGTGAAAATTTTCGAAAATTCGTTTCTTATAATTTATATTATCAGGAGAATATATTTTGCGAGGAGGTCGATGATGCGTTGATGACCTCTTTACAAATCATGTTCTCCTAATAACGCAAACGTGAAAATTTTCGAAAATTCGTTTCTTATAATTTATATGATCAGGAGAATATATTTTGCGAGGAGGTCGATGATGCGTTGATGACCTCTTTACAAATCATGTTCTCCTAATAACGCAAACGTGAAAATTTTCGAAAATTCGTTTCTTATAATTTATATTATCAGGAGAATATATTGTGCGAGGAGGTCGATGATGCGTTGATGACCTCTTTACAAATCATGTTCTCCTAATAACGCAAGCGCGAAAATTTTCGAAAATTCGTTTCTTATAATTTATATTATCAGGAGAATATATTGTGCGAGGAGGTCGATGATGCGTTGATGACCTCTTTACAAATCATGTTCTCCTAATAACGCAAACGTGAAAATTTTCGAAAATTCGTTTCTTATAATTTATATTATCAGGAGAATATATTGTGCGAGGAGGTCGATGATGCGTTGATGACCTCTTTACAAATCATGTTCTCCTAATAACGCAAGCGCGAAAATTTTCGAAAATTCGTTTCTTATAATTTATATTATCAGGAGAATATATTTGCGAGGAGGTCGATGATGCGTTGATGACCTCTTTACAAATCATGTTCTCCTAATAACGCAAACGCGAAAATTTTCGAAAATTCGTTTCTTATAATTTATATGATCAGGAGAATATATTTTGCGAGGAGGTCGATGATGCGTTGATGACCTCTTTACAAATCATGTTCTCCTAATAACGCAAACGTGAAAATTTTCGAAAATTCGTTTCTTATAATTTATATTATCAGGAGAATATATTGTGCGAGGAGGTCGATGATGCGTTGATGACCTCTTTACAAATCATGTTCTCCTAATAACGCAAACGTGAAAATTTTCGAAAATTCGTTTCTTATAATTTATATTATCAGGAGAATATATTGTGCGAGGAGGTCGATGATGCGTTGATGACCTCTTTACAAATCATGTTCTCCTAATCACGCAAGCGCGAAAATTTTCGAAAATTCGTTTCTTATAATTTATATTATCAGGAGAATATATTGTGCGAGGAGGTCGATGATGCGTTGATGACCTCTTTACAAATCATGTTCTCCTAATAACGCAAACGTGAAAATTTTCGAAAATTCGTTTCTTATAATTTATATGATCAGGAGAATATATTGTGCGAGAGGTCGATGATGCGTTGATGACCTCTTTACAAATCATGTTCTCCTAATAACGCAAACGTGAAAATTTTCGAAAATTCGTTTCTTATAATTTATATTATCAGGAGAATATATTTTGCGAGGAGGTCGATGATGCGTTGATGACCTCTTTACAAATCATGTTCTCCTAATAACGCAAACGTGAAAATTTTCGAAAATTCGTTTCTTATAATTTATATTATCAGGAGAATATATTTTGCGAGGAGGTCGATGATGCGTTGATGACCTCTTTACAAATCATGTTCTCCTAATAACGCAAGCGTGAAAATTTTCGAAAATTCGTTTCTTATTATTTTATATTATCAGGAGAATATATTTTGCGAGGAGGTCGATGATGCGTTGATGACCTCTTTACAAATCATGTTCTCCTAATAACGCAAGCGTGAAAATTTTCGAAAATTCGTTTCTTATTATTTTATATTATCAGGAGAATATATTTTGCGAGGAGGTCGATGATGCGTTGATGACCTCTTTACAAATTATGTTCTCCTAATAACGCAAACGTGAAAATTTTCGAAAATTCGTTTCTTATTATTTTATATTATCAGGAGAATATATTGTGCGAGGAGGTCGATGATGCGTTGATGACCTCTTTACAAATCATGTTCTCCTAATAACGCAAGCGCGAAAATTTTCGAAAATTCGTTTCTTATAATTTATATGATCAGGAGAATATATTGTGCGAAGAGGTCGATGATGCGTTGATGACCTCTTTACAAATCATGTTCTCCTAATAACGCAAACGTGAAAATTTTCGAAAATTCGTTTCTTATAATTTATATATCAGGAGAATATATTTTGCGAGGAGGTCGATGATGCGTTGATGACCTCTTTACAAATCATGTTCTCCTAATAACGCAAACGTGAAAATTTTCGAAAATTCGTTTCTTATAATTTATATTATCAGGAGAATATATTTTGCGAGGAGGTCGATGATGCGTTGATGACCTCTTTACAAATCATGTTCTCCTAATAACGCAAGCGTGAAAATTTTCGAAAATTCGTTTCTTATTATTTTATATTATCAGGAGAATATATTTTGCGAGGAGGTCGATGATGCGTTGATGACCTCTTTACAAATCATGTTCTCCTAATAACGCAAGCGTGAAAATTTTCGAAAATTCGTTTCTTATTATTTTATATTATCAGGAGAATATATTTTGCGAGGAGGTCGATGATGCGTTGATGACCTCTTTACAAATTATGTTCTCCTAATAACGCAAACGTGAAAATTTTCGAAAATTCGTTTCTTATTATTTTATATTATCAGGAGAATATATTGTGCGAGGAGGTCGATGATGCGTTGATGACCTCTTTACAAATCATGTTCTCCTAATAACGCAAGCGCGAAAATTTTCGAAAATTCGTTTCTTATAATTTATATGATCAGGAGAATATATTGTGCGAAGAGGTCGATGATGCGTTGATGACCTCTTTACAAATCATGTTCTCCTAATAACGCAAACGCGAAAATTTTCGAAAATTCGTTTCTTATAATTTATATGATCAGGAGAATATATTTTGCGAGGAGGTCGATGATGCGTTGATGACCTCTTTACAAATCATGTTCTCCTAATAACGCAAGCGTGAAAATTTTCGAAAATTCGTTTCTTATTATTTTATATTATCAGGAGAATATATTTTGCGAGGAGGTCGATGATGCGTTGATGACCTCTTTACAAATCATGTTCTCCTAATAACGCAAGCGTGAAAATTTTCGAAAATTCGTTTCTTATTATTTTATATTATCAGGAGAATATATTTTGCGAGGAGGTCGATAATGCGTTGATGACCTCTTTACAAATCATGTTCTCCTAATAACGCATTTAAAAAAAAAAAAAAAAAAAAAATTTCGCGAACAATTAATGTTCGAAATAATTTACGCATTGCCATCCGCGTTTTGTGGGCTCTTAATGCTCTTTATTTAATTATCATGTTGATAAATACATAGAACCGTATTATTTACCAATTTATTTTGAAAAATATTTATTTCATCTTTGAATATTACAGTATCTGTCGCGATTGAATAATTTATTTATTATCAATTTACACACATAAGTATTTAATTGTTATATAGCACTGGTGCTACCGGCATTTCGTGTACATAGCACGGAACAAAACCAGAAATTGTGCAATTATATATTACCCTCTGAGAACATTCATGGACTTTGACTTTGTAGTTCATGTCCATGTTTTGAATGTCCATAGAGGGAGTATCACTTTTGGGGTCACTCCATAGCTTGGACATGAACCATAGCTCAGACACGAACCATGTATTATTATCGACTTTAATGGATGTAGTTGACGTCCACTTTGTCAGGGAGCGCATTAGGACAATATATCCGTTAAAGCGAGGTGGCCGCTCTCAGGTTTCTCTCTGGTGTAACGAAAAAAATTTTATTCACATATACATATACACATAAGCCATTAAATGTATTTTTAATAATTTTCTAATTTTCTATAAGTCGCAAATCCACGCAAATTTATTTATACTTATATTCTTTTTTTTCTTGCAATGTACAGAATGTAAAATTTCGTTGAAGGGTCAATCGATAAAATATGTCTTTCTGAAGTAATAAAAAGTAATAAAAAACCATCGTTCCTCTATGAAGAAGATAATACATAGCTTGATTTAGGATGATGAATTTTGCGCGCTTTATACTCGGCTTTATCGCGCAATTTGCTTGTTTATTATACGATGCGTACGGATTATTGATATAAAATAAGATGTACGATAATTCGCGCACTTTTATCGCGTCTATAAATACGATATTTGTTATTTTTCATGTAACGCATATGTGCAACGTTAAATAATTTATCCTATTCGCACGATACATGTTCTAATGTCAAACAATGTCTAATTAATAAGTCACGCATCATTGGATGGGTTACAGATAGATATTATCATCTCGGGAACTTTTCGATAACGAGCTGCTGCCGGATTCCTGGGAAAGAATCTCAGCTTACAATTTTTTAAAATATCGCGAAATTGTTAATAATATTTAAAAAGAAAAAATGAAGGATTAAAAATTTACTATTACGCTTAAATATTTATAATTTATATTTAAAATAATTCGATTTATCGTAATCTAAAATTCTCTTTGATGATACTGGGACAAGATATACTTGCATAATTAGTATGCGATTACATTATGCACAATGTAAATATCGTCGATAAGAGAGAAAAAGATCTCGCTTTGAAAGATATTATATTTAAAGAGAATCATTTGCAGAAAATGTCTAAAAATACATAGTTATATATATGTATGTAATATTCTTTGGAGAAAATTATAAAATATACGTCTCTCTCTCTCTTTCTTTCTTTTTTTCTATATATATATATTTATATATCTTTGGATCACGTGATGTAAATATATATTTACAAAATCGAGCAAATATGAGCCATACTATATACATGTCACATGTTAAGTACAAGTCGCACGCTAAATATAGATTAATCATTTAGAATGTCTTGTACGTTGCATTATCGTAAAAGAGACGAAAAGAAATCAAGTATATTGTAAAATAGATAACGAATAACATAATAAAATGTGATTTGAACTAGAGTCTCTGTATAAAAGAGCTTCTTATAAAACATCTTTATGTAAAAGAAGAGACTCGAGTCAAATTTAATTGAAATTTTATATAATCCATAATATAAGTTTTTTCACATTTTTCTTTCTCCTTACAATATAATTGTATCTTTCGTTTCTTCTGACAGGGAGCGTATCGGTTCAGGTATATTCTGCGATGAAGCAGTCTACAATATCGATAGTATAACGTCAAAGGGACGCATTATTGTAGAAAATATTACCGATATTGTATCATATATAATAGATCGTAGATGCTTTCGTTATTTTGCAAAATTTCGACATGATTAATAATTAGTGTAAAGCGTAAAGAGATAATAGAACAGAATAATATGCTATACAATATCACGCTTTTTAATTTTCAAGCGCTGACATAGACTGTTAAGTAAATGTAACTTAAATAAATATAAATATATATATATATATATAAAGCGCGATAGGAATATATAACATTATTCATAGTTATTTCCTAATCTCAAATTCGCAATAATTAGACTAGGATGCTAAACTTCCCGTTAACATTGCGCGTTTAGCGTTGTATTTTTTATTTTTTATAGGATTATGATAAAGCTCGTATGCTCTTCCTCCAGCATTGAATGATCGAGCGAATACGGATTCCTTATAAAAAATACATATTATTTTATTTCTACAAAATGATACGTATCGTCTTCATATTTTCGTGCACTCTGCGTTGTCGATAAACATCGATACCGATAAGCAATCATAAATCGGTATGCTTTTGCCAGAATTTTTTTCACAGAGTTCGTTGCAGCTGCAGTCGGCAAGTGCTTTCAAGTCGGTAAGAACGAAACGGTTCTCTACGATCTCTCGGAATGTGCTGCCGTAGTAGACGTTATAACCGAGGCGAGGTCACCGCTGGACTGACTAGTGATTGGTTCTAGGGGTGGCACGCTAGAGTGGAAAAATTAAATGGATATTAATAAATTATTATTATTAGCGACGTATCTCAATTTTTCTCAAATTAATATATCATGTCATCATATTTGCGTATAGATATAAATAGAAGAATCAAATTTTGACAATGAAATATAATCTAGCAATCGTATAGAATTACATTTGAATTTCATTATTTTTATTATTAAAAATCATATATTTTTATTTCACTTTTTGTTCCGCTTTTTTAAATTTTATATTTAATCAGGCAAATTTATTAATAAATTAACGATAATCCGTTGTACGTATACACATACACACACACACAAACGCGTATCGGAATACATCTCAAGTGAGACTAATGATTGATGACTTACGTAAGGGTGGTTTGGCGATTCAACACGGCGGCGGTAGGTAATGCAAGGGGCGAATGTGCGTGTCCTAATTGCGCTCCAGTTGGTGTACCTACAGGAAGACTGTGCCCTTCGACCCCTTCACCACCCCCGCCCCCGCTTGTGTATATTGTATTCAACTGCAACGCGTCCACTGTAACGTCAACAAAGAGAGACAACATCGGTCACGATTACTCTGCTCGTCACACCTTATGCTCTGATTAATCTCACTTTTTTTTAACGCGCGATATGTGTGTATGAATTCTATTTTGCGAGAGATGCAGGCGCTAATATTCGATTATTATTCTAGTATTTCTATCGTTGGAATTTCACGTTATTAATTTTTATCATTAGCGACACATCAATTTTTATCATTAGCGACACATCAATTTTTCTTCAAATTAATAGCCTATCTCGTTTACTTATTGTTAGATGTAAAAAAAACAGAATCGAATTTTTACAACGAGGCTTCAGTTTTTATTCTTTAATTATTTCTTCAACACATTTCGCAAAAATTCATTCAATTCAATCGACTCGCGCTCTTATCAAGATGAATAATCGACGTGCCCGTTGATCGACTTTTGATCCTTGTTTTGTCGCTCGTAAGAAGTACCTCAAGGTCTTGATTCTCAAAAGAGATAAACGCACAGCTCGAGTGGAAAATTCACGATCCGTCATTCTTGCGAGCCCGCAAAGTCGAGAGACTATCTCGAATAATAATGTTCGATATAATCAAGTATGATTTAATATAAATATAATCGGACATGCAAAGTTGCTAATTTTTTTTCTCCTCCAATATGGCTTTAATTAAAATTTTCTAGACGTGATAAACGCGCAATTTTTCGATGTTATTACGCTTTAATTCGCGTGTGAGGAATATATATTAAAATATCAAGGGTAATGTTCCACGTTCTCTCCTCGCGTATTTCGCGTATTTTTTTATTTAATCCCCTGTCAAAACGGAGAGAAGTGTCGCTATCGCGCATTCCAAGCTTTGACCAATCCGAGGTACTATCGGTTATTGTGTGCTCTTTCGTCGATCCCCCTTCGCGCTATCACATGTACACATAATCGTATCGTATAGTCGGCCATCGAAGCTACCGATGGACGAGGATAGGAATTACGACTTTCTGCGTTTTCTGAAAAACGATTCACTCGCATACAAGAAGTTAATTGATCATTCAAACATCGATAAAATTAAAACGGTAAAAATAATTGTTAGCTTCATATTTTAATAATTGCGCAATGGCTTTATAATATATTATGATATAAGTCTAGCGATTGCTCGTATAATTGTTCAATAATGTATATTAAAAATAGTTTTAGCATTTTACGTGCAAATTTATATTTCTCGAACCATCTCGTTTCTACCTGTAGGTACACCTAATCGAACCGATTAAATATTCGATTAACGTTCGCGAGAAAGAATGAGAACATCACAGGGTGTCATTGTATCATAGAGAGAATGGCGGTAAACTTGACAATAGCTTTTGAATAATGAAAATGGTTTAAGCTCGCGAAGAATTGTGTAGTTTATTTAGGGCACGATTTGTATCCTGTATATCTTTAAATCGAGGTGATAAGTAGGAAAGGGAGTGTGTGTAAATGAAAATAAACTGTATAATAGACTTGCTCACCGAAGACTCACCGAGTAGGTTGGACTTGATCTCGGTCTTGTGGATACCACTAGGTCCGGGGAGATTTCCAGTGATGGATCCCGAATGATTCTTTGGTTTCCGTTTTCGCGTCTGTATTCCCTCCTTCTTCATGCTCAACGGCCTGTTCACCTGTCGAATCAAATTAATTATGTGTGCGCGCTCTTTTTTCCAGCTTTGACGTAAAAAAGTAATGAAACGTCAATTTAGCACGAGCTTTCTAGCTTTAAGATTGATCGAGGCTCTCGATCATTTATAAATAATTTTATATTTTTTAATTCTTTTATTTTATGTACGAAAATGTTTGTAGATAAGATAATAGGATTATTACTCGAGATGATATATATATATATATATATATATATATATATATATATATATATATACTACAGTAGGGCCAAAGTATGAACACCACTTGTTCTGCAAAGTTTAATATTAAGATTGAGAGGAGTAAAAATAAAAAAAAGATATAGATATAGAAATATATGATAATATGAATTTTTTTCGATTCATAGCATAACCGCTCATCAATCTCTGTTTTAATTAAATTTATTGTCACGATGGTTTGCACAGATCCGCGCGATAATCTGCGCTCTTCTACAACGTCGAAACGGAATCGTGCGTGTAAAAACAATCAAGTCACCGTTATCATTGACTAGCGATCGCAAAAAGACCGATAACGATGCGCTGACCAGTTGTAACGAGATTAATGTATTAATTAAAGTAATTTACTATACTGCTCTTTTGGTATTTTTATATCGCGAGAGAGTGGATCAACGCATTGTGTCATTGTAATTCTTATATTATTCGGATACATTGAGGAAAAAGAAAGTTTTGTTTTTTGTAAATTACGCTTTTCATACGCCAATAATTTGTTTTTAATTTATTGTTACTATCATTTATTATTATTTATAGAAATATTTGTAGCTTGTAATGATATTAAGAGATGTCGATTATAAATACGTTAACGAAATTTCCGTTTAAATCCGGATATAAAAGAAAAAGTATAATTTTGCGACTCACATTATGCAGCTTGAAATAAAGTCCGCACGCGTTGCAAACTGGTTCACCATTGTTATTTCGCCGCCAAAGAGTCGTGTTGTTTGTTCTGCAATTTGCACATTGAACTCCTGTCCTTCGTACACCGGTCTGTAAAAAAAAGTGTTATTTTCATATAAACACACAATATTAAGTTATTGCGTGTATGATAAAAATATGTGTCAGAGATCTTTAAAGAGAGCAAATGATTAGTACACAAATTCCATATTTGAAATATTTTAGTATTGTCTTTCTCTCGTCTCTCTCTCTCTCTCACACACAAAAGTTGTAAGCAGTGTGAAAAAATACCGTATTTAAAAGGATATTTAATGATAATTTCCCTTATTTAACGGAGCATTAAATTACAAAAACAAGTTGCATATTTCACGAGCGACGCACTCTCTTGTTTGCATCAAATAATTTATGATTAAGACATATGTTGTTTCTTTTCGTAAATTTTAAGGTCGCGCGAGAGATGAGAAAATTCCTCGTTCTTAGTCGATGACGTCATAAAATGCTGCGTCGTCACGACGGGGTGTTTGAGGAATCGAGACTACGAAAATGGGAGTGCTCGGCGCGAGAAAACTAGAGCAAATAACAGCCGCCAGTGAGTCCCCGTAGTGATTATTTACTCAACAAGAGATAACATCCCCCTTTTCTCTGTCTTTTATAACGTAGAAGGAAACGAGAGAGAGAGAGAGAGAGAGAGAGAGAGAAGGCAAGAACGTTACTTAATATCGAAGTCATGTACGCTTCAAGCGAGAAATTTATCAGGGTAAATATCGGTGGCCCCGTTTTGGCGATGGTCATACGTATTTCGGCTGTCGAGCATTCGAACGCGAAAATTGCAGATTGTGTTTTGAGAGATCTCTTGGTTTTTTTTTTAATATTTCAACAATTATATTGAGCATAAAATTTATTATGTTAAAAAATATCAGAAAAGAAAAAAAACCGAGTAAACCTTAGCTCAAAAAAAATCGAAATATCAAGTTAAATAAATAATAAATAGAAAAAAAATAACGATGACTCAAAGAGAAAAGTAACAGAGATAAAAACTCTGTATAGAGAGTCGAGTGTTCTCGGGGAGGAAAAGTGATTTTCAGATATATATAGAGTTGAATATACAATATTTAAATAATTATATCGTAATAATAAAGATTCGCACAATGTTTACCGGTACCGTCTGCTTCGGTTTAGGACATCTCATGGGTGGCCTGTTGACCCCGTTCATCTTGCCATAAAGTCCGCAGGCATTGCAAAGATAATGCCCGGCGCCGTCCCGTCTCCATAACGGCGTCATTTGTGACGCACAGTTGGCGCATTCTTTGGTTTCTATAACGGCATTTTCGAAGGACTCGTCGGTACCGGCAATCGGAAGGGTAGTAGTCCATCCCGATGGTCCGCCCCCGCTCGTAGAGACGCTGTATCCGCCACCCGAGTACAGCTGCATATTGGTGTCGCCGACGGAGATGATGCTCGGATAACTCGGGACGTACTCCAAGGTCGGGGGCGAGGGGGTGCTACCGGCCGGCCAGTAAGGATCGTTTTGCGCCGAGGATTGCTTCACGTATTGATACGACGTCGGTCCTGTGCTGTACAAAGTCACTTGAGAACCCGGCGAACCGGGTTGCTCGTAATGTAGCGGAACCGCCCGAGCGGAGGTCAAGGATGACGTCAACGTCGGATCACCTTTCATGAACGCATTGCCGGGTGATTCCACCTGTTGAAACGAATGAATGTATCTTTTCTTGGGTCAAAAGATAAGATTAGGACAATGTTAGTAATTTGTTTTTATTTATGTGTGTGTATATATATATATATATATATATATATATATATAATTGTAATTTTTTAATATTTATATATTTTTATATAGTTAAAATTATAGAAACGAGAGTAATTAAGTGCGATTCAAATAACAAATTTCTAAAAGCTCTTTCTCTTTTTCTGTTTCTCTCGCTCTCTCTCTCTCTCTTCTTACCTCGGTCACTCTCGATCCAAGTGGAGTTGATGGTGGATACGCCAGGATCACGGGATCGCCCGGTTTGGCATAGCTATAGGTCGGTGCCTGCTGAAACGTCTCGCTGGCCGACAAATATTGCGTATATTGAGCGGTTTGCGCGGGCGGAATGGCGACTGTCTCTAGAGTGGTGTACGTGTTCGGACCTTTGATGGTTTCCACGGCGGTCGCGGACTCGGGCGGATCGTACTTGACGACGCCGCTGGCGTCGGAGTAGCTCGTCGACACGAGGTGTTGTTGCGACTGCTGCTGACCGGGACGAATGCCGTCCATGGGCGGCGAATACGGCGGTGCGGGTGACCCCAGATGGACCGTGGATCCCGATTGCGCGGCGATCGTCGCAGCGCCGTAGTCCTCCGTCGTGGCGGTGAGAACCGGCGATGTATATCTCGCCTGATGATGATTGTCGTGCGGACTGAATTTCTGATGCCCGGCCTGATGCTGGCCTCGCCGATCGGCCATTTGTACGGCGATCACTTGATTCTCCCTTCGTATCTCGTGACTATCCGGATAAGATATCGCGTACCGGTCCATCTCGGTACCGTCCGGTGCGGGAGTCTCGTATCTTCGTTCGACCAAACCACACGACGTTTAAGTGCGTGTTTCTTTTTCTTTCTCTCTTTTTTTTTTTATAAACACTTAGTTTTAGAAAAAAATGTGTCGACCGTTCTTACCTGGGTGGTTCCTTGACCGTAAGCGCAATGGTGCCCCCGGAGCTCTCGGAAACTTCGACCTGTATTTGAGGGCCGTTACTAGTGCCGTAAACGACGCGTTGTTGATCCGCTCGTTGATCCACCTCGACTGCGCCCGGATGAGAGATCTGCACGTAATGCGCCTGATGAGTCTGCTCCTCGTGATAATTACGCTGCTGCGTTTGCTCGTGTTGCCGCTCGTTTCTCTGCTGATGGAGATTCCCGCTGACCGAATTGGAGTCCGGCGATTCCGGATCGACTTCGGCGATTCCCTCGGTTATATGACCGGCGGTAGTGATCGTTCGAACGTGCTTTCTGCTCGTTATGACGCTTTGAGGGCTGGACACCGTCTGATCATCGGTTGCGGTAACTTGCGGAGAACTATCGTCGACATGATGGCTCTCCCACTCCATTTTGATTTCTTGCTTGACCAGCGTTTCTTTCATCATCGTATCCTAAGTAAACCAAGGAGTTGTCATTATTCAAAAATAATGTAATCTAATCTCTGTCGCACATGTTCCAAAATAACTTGTCAACTTGTTTCTATAGAAATTTTCTATAGAACCAAAATGTCTTTGAGTTATTTATGTGGCAGTCAGTAAATAGTTTCAAATACAAATATTATATTATATTGAGTTCGTTATGCGACAGTCTGTAAATAGTTTCAAATACCCCTATTATATTATTATTTATTACGAGTAATATTATATTATTATTTATTACTTGTCGGAAGAGGATGCAAATTTTTCAATTTTCATAGTCAAAGCTTAAGCGTTCTCGACAGTTTAATACATAAATAAAATTGCTTAATAACGGAACGACCACGTGTCGCGAAAACTCGCGTGTAAAGACATCGGAGCAGCGTTATCGTCGCGATAACGGAATCGTGCGAGTAAAGTCATATGTCGGATTTTCAAACCGGATAACATAAGAGATTGGTGTCTAGGTCGGCGATCTTTACGGAAACTTTTGCTTTCGCTCCGATGGAGCAATTACGGCAGGGATATTTCGCCGAAGAAATCATCGAATACGCATTTCGCGCTTTGCGCTTTCGCGAGAGGATAATTTTTCTAAAGAGATGTACAGATCGTTTCATCCAAGGACTCGGAATAATATTTCAAGGATCGGACGGTAGTCGAGAGTAAGGAGCGTATTTACCTAAAAAATTATGCAAAATTGAGGTAAAGGCTAAAGAATGGTCCTGACGGATTATCGATTAGTCATTCTTTCAGGGGAATCCTCGAGGCACGCGACACGAGATCGTTTCGGGCAAAAACACAGACACACAGACACACGGCGGATTTAGCGGAGAGGGAAAGGACCGAGACACACCTCGTCCGTCTCGAGAAAAATGCGAGAGGTACCGTGTTTGTCCTGCGTCACACTTCCGCTCGGCAATGTCAAGTTTCGACTTCCGGCACGAGAGCGGCTACGCGACGGCTCTCTTTCTTTGGCAAAGACCTCGCGCGACTTCCGCTACATCACCGTCGGCGATGATCCCGCAATCTGTGTCCCGGTACCGCGGACGTCAAATCGGAATAACGCGACGTGGTGAGTCATATTAAACTGCGTTAAAGCGAGCGAAAAGCGTCCATTACCGTCAAATTAAGCGTTAAACTGTCGGAAATGGAGTAACGGAGAAAATTAATTTGCGAATGGCGATTGCTTCGTGAATACTTTAATTGGAATAAATCTTAAGTCTTTCTCAAGTTTGAAGAAATCATACGTTCGGGAGAACAAAAATTATATCACGTTTATTTTTGTTTAATGAATATTTTAATCGAAATAACGAATAAATATTTCTCTCTCAAATATCGAATAAACTATCGCGTGTTGAAGAAATTAAAAATCATATTATATATGTGTTTATTTGTATGCGCGAAGCAATTAAAAATTTTATTTTATTTCAGACTATCATTTTTTTCTGTAAATAACAAACTTTTGTGAATTTATCATTTCGTAACGAGTAAAGTCGAAATATAAAGATGCTTCAATTCAGAAGACTTTCGAGACTCGACGTGCTCTGAAACGATAAGTTTTATTTAAGTAATTGAAAATGTCGCAATTTTGTCAAGTACAATTTCTCGATCGACACCAAATTCTTCGGCAATTCCATACATATTTTTCTGAGTGAAAATCCATCGGTACCTCGTTCGATGCGTGTCGCATTTGAGAATCGTGTCGCGTCCTCGCTGTTTTCCCGACGCACCCTGCAACGCACTAATCTCGGATTAAATCGATGTTGGCATGAAATGTACATGCACTCGGAAGTAATCGCGACGTGGATCGTTGAGAAGAATCGTTCAAGTAAAGAGACGCTTCCTCCGCTGGCGGGAAGCCAACTGACGACGGCAAGAAGAGACAGCCCGTACCACAAAGAGATGTGCGAAGAAAGGTGGTGGAACCGCAGCGAACCGCCGGTGAGTTTCTACTATACCTGTACCGTACCTGGATAGGTGAAACGACGTGCTCTTCTCCTCTTGGTCGATGCGTAGCGGAGGAACGAAAGAGAGAGAGAGAGAGCGAGAGCGAGAGCGAGAGAGAGAGAGAGAGAGAGAGAGAGAGAGAGAAGGAGAGAGAGAAGCTGCATGTGGACAACTTGCAATAGACAGTTTAGATTGACAGCAGCGGAAGCGATTGGGCGGACCCTCGCGTTCATTGGTCAACTGGTTACGAGATTCTTTCTACAGTTATACTTTCGTGCTGTTGTTGCTGCCAGAATCGATCGTGCTTCTCTCTCTCTCTCCCTTTCTCTCTCTTTCTGTCGTCCTTTGCTGCGCAAAAATGCGACGTGCGAGAGCTGCATGCTTTACATTCCTTCGTCTCCCCTTTCCCTTTCTCTCCCCGAAAACTAAATATATATATATATATTTATCTTTTCTTCAATTCAAAAGGAGAATAAAAATGTGTATTTAAAAAAAAGGTCTAATTGTTCCAGTGACGAAATGTTGTTTTCAACAACAATATCTCGATAAAACGAATCTTTACTCGATGATTTCTTTTCGAAATATTTTTGAAGAATTACAAAAATTATTTCATGACGTCATATCCGTCGACTCACAAGCCAGGTTGTAGCGTGGACGATAAAAATAGATGGTCAGAAAGAATCCAACGAAACCGAATTTCGTAATTCTGTCCACTCGGATTGGGTAAATTACACACATACAGTACGGGGGGGAAAAAAAGGTCGTGAAGGTGTCCGTTTGTTTGCTCGTTGATAAGGCACGATGTAGCTGCGACGAGATGAGATAACGAGGGACGGTGCGGGGGAACGGGACGTGTCCACGTGAGACCTCGTCGTCATCGTCGGCCATCGTTGCTAACGCCATTTTGTAGCGGCGACAGCTTGACCATATAGAGAGAGAGAGAGTGAGAGAGCGAGAGGGATGATTCATTCCCGTGCGCATCGATCAGTCGGGGGAAAAGGGAACCCCGCTGCGACGGATTTGTAATAAAATCTCGTTTCAATCGAACGGAAAGCCGATGATATCTTTTTCCTAGAATCTATAAAATTTCATACGTTTAAATTACGCGTCTTGTTTTTATAAATATTCATATAAATATACATTCATTTATATATTCATGTAAATATACATTCTAGTGATATATAATGTATATAAATCATGTAATCTAATCTCTAGCAGATCAAGTTCTAAAACATCTCAGAGAAAAGAAGTAAATGAAGTTGATAATGCAACATTAAATACAGATGATATTGATGAAGCATCTATGTATGAAGATGCAATTGGAAAACCTATTCCAGTTATGAGTTCAACTATAAAGTCTAGTTCTTTTCTGCATGGAAAATTAATGGACTCTATTGCGGTATTAAAACGTTTGTCACAACCGAAATTAAATGAAACAGTAGTAATACAAAAGTCACAAAATGCAAAAACTAGACAATCAGAAGAAAGAACAAGTAGGGATAACTTACAATCAAATGAGCAAAATATACAAATATACTTAATTTCTTTCGATTTAATTTAATTCACGCGCTAGCTGAAATGATCGCGTTTCATTTTCCATAGTTATAAACAAATAGACGAGGGTAGTATCGGTGTGGGGCTGAATAGCTCAGTGGTAAGAGCAGTCGCCCGGCAAGCGAAAGACTCGGGTTCGATTCCCGATTCAGCGACTTCATTAGCAAAACAAAAGAAAGACAATGAAGACTTTAAAGAGATAAAAGCATATATCTATACTTAATTTTATCTTATAATTATTTATATAACTTTCATTTACATCATGACCCATTTTTTCTAGCATTTGTCACTGATATTTTCCATTAATAATGAATTTTTTCTTTCAGAATACATATATTTTAGTATCCGAAAACTGCTTCTCGTACTCAAACTGGAAGAGCAACTTAGAAACTGCAGAAACAACAGAAACTACAGAACAATGAAGCAACAAAGGAAACGGAACAAGAGGAAACGGAACGTTTCTTGCGGTACAAGAACATATTCCGCAAGAAGTAATCCACAAATCGGCCTATGCATATATTTTACTTGGTGCATTTAACCAAGATATAGATTCTCATTTTTGAGAAATTCTATAAAACCTTCTTTATCTCCCTGGAGAGACGTAGACCCGAAAAATATCGGGGTGAAGTCGCTGAATCGGGAATCGAACCCGAGTCTTTCGCTTGCCGGGCGACTGCTCTTACCACTGAGCTATTCAACCCCACACCGATATCACTCTCGTCTATTTATAACTATGGAAAATGAAACGCGATCTTTACAGCTACGCGTGAATTAAACTAAATCGAAAGGAATTAGGCTCGTTATATATTAAATAACATGATAAGAAAACTAGCGTCTACGAGCCACAGCGGATGGTAATGCCTAAAAATTCTTTTTAATTGTACACGAAATTTAACGTGTACAATTAGACGTAGACGCTAGTTTTCTTATCATGTTATTTAATATATAACGAGCCTAATTCCTTTCGATTTAGTTTAATTCGCGCGTAGCTGTAAAGATCGCGTTTCATTTTCCATAGTTATAAATAGACGAGAGTGATATCGGTATGGGGTTGAATAGCTCAGTGGTAAGAGCAGTCGCCCGGCAAGCGAAAGACTCGGGTTCGATTCCCGATCAGCGACTTCGCCCCGATATTATTCTCGTCTACGTCTCTCCAGGGAGATAAAGAGGGTTTTATAGAATTTCTCGAAAATGAGAATCTATATCTTGGTTAAATGCACCAAGTAAAATATATGCATATGCCGTATTTTCGTTTAAATTTCGTTAAGATTGAAGAATTCTTTTCTTTATATTCTTCAATCTTCTGAATCGACAAGACCGTCAAATACGTACATTAGCACAATTAAATTTTTGCAAATGTTTTCGACGTCAACATTCGGAAAAATTCAGTTTTGTTAAATTAAAAGATTAATGTTTATTAAATGATATGTTTGTAATGGTTTGCGCGAAATGTAATTGAAAATGTATCGGTTTTTTCTTTTACAGAAATTATTACAGCGCACGACTAATTATTATGCCAATAATGATGATATTAAAGTTTTGCCCGCGCGATAAAGCCCGCGAGTATCTTAATATGTGATTGAATATCATAGATAATCATTGTGATACATTGCATCGATCAATCATTATTTAGTCCGAAAATTTAGAATGAAAATATAAATATGTTGTGCATGCTCGCCGAGAGAGAAAGAAAACGGTAACATTTCAATTACGAATGGTACGAATAGCGTACACAAGCGTCGCAAAATCATCTCGAGATAATAACTATTGCTTGCATCACGTTGTCCTGATTCATTTCTGCAAACGAAACGTCATCGATAGCGAAACCGTCATAATTTCGGTAATCGAAAAAGGCATGACACACGTAAAGTACCTTTAAACCCGAAACTCTACCTTTCTCGCATCCGAATTAATCTTCCCTGCGTTATCTTTCGAGTCTAAATCAAGATTAAAGAAGAAGAGTTTATCAAAGAAAGATATTAGAATAAAACAATCTCGGATTAACTTATAGAGACTTTGAACAAAAATACGCGATGTATTTAATTTTCTAAAAAATCAACTTTCGCCCGATTTTTACTATTAATCATTAATTAAATCGAGTGAATTAAGGCAATTCATCATAATTGGTCGTTGTCGAATCTTCAAGAATATAAGTTAATAACGTGATCGCAACAAGCGAAATCAAAATGAGAAGAGGAGGCGGGAGGAGAAAGGAGGAGAAAGGAGGAGAATAATAGATCGCGACGCTCGAGGGGCAAAAAAAATATCAAGCCGCGAAAACCTTTGGACGCGCATGAAATTGTCCGGAATGGCGTACGTGACGATGACGGATATTTCTACATGCGATCGCAACGATACCGTGTAAGCTCGATAGAAATCAAGAGCACAAACATACGCACACGCGCGACGCAGGTTTCCTCTCGAAGCAATATTTCGCTGATAAGAGCGAGCTGTTACGAGCCACGACAAAAGGAAGAGAGGAGATTGTACACAATTGCAACACATCTAAAGTTTGGTGCGATGGATTACAGTTCTGTTGATTTTGTAACAATTTTCCGTTGTTAACCTGGGCTTCAAATAACGTGGGAAAATTTATACGAGGGTATGAGAGAAGAATGACGCGCTTCTATCGGGAATGAGAAATATACGAGAAACTTACGTTTTGTATTCACCGTCATTATATAACGCGACAATACATGATGACAATACAAATAAATTTGAGATTGCGAATTTTGAATATTGCCTTTGTAATCGCATAATCATTCGAATAAAACAGAAATGATAAGGTTGGAAATTTCATTTCCCACAAATCGATTAAAAATTAAATTCAATAGAATAATGAGATTATTGAAGAATCGAAGGATAAGATGTACGATAAGGTTGTAATAAATAGTACTTGTATGTACACTCCCCGAGTCTAGTCTTTCTCTATAGTTACAAAAAAAATGACTGACGCATTATCAGCAACGTCTACTCCCTCGTTATTTCTCGTATCTTTCGATCTTGGCGCAATTCGTCAATCGACGAATTTGTTACGATTCCGCTGTCAATAAAAAAGTCATTATCGTAAAGCGTCGATTGCAGAAATGATGCGTTTTCGGCGGAACCATAAAACCTGATCTTTTCGTCTCGTCGCACCTCGATAAAGCGACCGATTATTGACTCGGAAACGCATTGGCGCGGATTAACTTGGCGCAATATGCAGTCGCGTTAAAGTCGAACCTACATATGGGGCTTTCATAGGCGAAGTTTGGCGATTATTTGAGTTTACAATCGCGTTATACGTCGCGGAATAAGCAAACAGCACGTTGTCGGCAAACAAGAGGAAACGGCGACGCCGGATTATAATGTACAATTGCGTGGAAGATTTCTCAACGTCGTAATTAAATTCTAAACGAGAACGCTTGTCTTGACAAATA